TTGGCATTAACCTTGGTCTAGCCTTTAGACCTGGCCCTAGGCCTATTGAATTTTGTATTCAATCGTTGTGTTGCCTAAGAAGCTATCTCGGAGATGTATAGCTTCATCTAACACTCCGTTATTGCATCAGACTGAACGATTCTCCAGAAACTGTCTTCGCTGAATCCATGGTCTGACTTTGAGCTGCCGTGGGTCAGCGACCTAACAAAGTACATTTAAATTATGGAAACTAAACGATTTGCTATTCAGTTTTCTACAGCTAAGCAGAGTTTTCCGTGGCCACGCCACGGCGTTCAAAAGCCATTCCAGGCAAATCTTTGGGAGTCAAATAGACTCCACCCGAGAGCGTGTTGAAGGTTTTGAATGTTTTTCCTGCAGCAAGCACGACGGCGTACGTATGTACAAAAATACACACGGAAAGGCAATTTTGAAAACCTGCACAGCTCTCGGAATTGTTTCTAGCATGACATCCGGCTGTACGTGTTGGAAGAGCAAAAAAATTTCAATCAGGCTAACACATTTCATTAAGCCAAGTGGCTCTGTTGTTGTTTGGTGATTGGGGTTTTAGGGTGCACCGACTACTGAGGTAATTTGGCGCCCTAGGTCAAGTGGTTCGAAGGCAGGCGTGGTAAGTCTTATGGATGGCCACGCCAACAATTTGTCGCTCATCTATCACCGGCATTTTTTCGCTCAGTTGCCTTCCTCGGAACCAGCTCTCCATCACAGCTCGAGCCAGGCGCGCAGCCAGCGCCTTCCGTCGGGGTGGGGGAGGGTCAGAGGGGGGGGGGGGGCACATCGGCCTTCCAGAGCGCTCTTGTCAAGTGGGTCCTAATGCTACATGGAGCCCCACCCACATGATGCCTGTTGAAAATGCAATTTCTTCCAGATTTGACAGTTTTACTTTAGGCATTGGTGATTGGGAGACCCCAAATAGTGGGACAGCAATGAAGACATCCGAAGCACTTCACAGATGCTTCGGATGCATGATAAGCCACGAAAAAGTATCTTTTTCAATGTTTTTGTTTTTTTAAACGAGAGGCCATAGATTGGCTACTAATAATGTCTCAGAAATGTTGCAAGGTGCTAAGCTGCGGTGTATAAGCAGCACGACATTTCGAAACCTGAGCTTTTGGATTGAGAACAGCAGGGGTGTGCTGGGGAGACACAGCCAAGCAGGCCGTACGACATGGATAGCCTTGTTATCGCACATCGCGAAACACTAGGTCAAAGAGAGTAACGCAATCCGGCTTAGATCTATCGGAGGCGCATTTGTGTGCATATTGGTTGTGTATTATGTGCTGGTTGTGCATATTGCTGGTGTGTTTGTTTTCAGATCACATTCATCTCCTCATGTATTAATTCGCACACTTGTGACCTCTCTCCTAGACAAGATTTTACATGGCATCACCACTACCACATATATAAGACAATTGTAACCATGCCTGTACATGTACACGCAAATGAATGGTGCACCCGCGTTTTTTTTTAGTCCATAGCATCATAGCATTCAGTCTATAGCAGTATAGAAGAGACCTTCAAGGGTAAAATTTATCTAAGCCCATCCACCCTCTACACATGGGGCAGTGCTCACAGCACCCGCTACCTATTTTTTGTCAGTTGTGCCCATCTGTCACCGACCCCTTTGCCTTTCTCCAGCACCTATGTTCCAAATTATGGAAGAGATTCCGGAAATTGGTGCAGTCAAATTACACTTTTGCATCTATTATTGCAAAAACAGCGGGAATGGAACTAACTATGACTAAAAAAGGAATCAGGAGCATCGTGCTGTACTTCGCAGGGTGCCTACCACACATTTCGTACACGTCTTACCCATGCCCGAACCCATGGCCGTTATTTTTCCAAAATTCGTACCTAGCCCAGCCCGTTATCCATCGTATGTGGGTACCAATCGATGCGTCAGTGAAGTCCTCTGCAGCGCAGCGTCCTGGTCACAGAGCAGTCCACGCCTGTATTGCACGGTAGTCGAAATGTCTCTCATCGGTTCGATGTGCGGAAGACTAGAGAAGAAGGCCTTAACTATTGTGCCGTCCTTGGTGGCGGCACGGGAGGTGTCCAATGCAGTGTGTCTGGAAATCGGTTTTTTAAAGCCTGTGTGCTGTGAAACCGGTTCTGAAGGCGATGAATTTTAATGGGGCCCTCATCTGGGTTGTTTCGTCGAAATTCAACTACCCAAGTTACTCCCCGACACAAAAGTATGGTCGCAATTGTTTTTACCGATGGACTTTGTAGTTCGGAGGTTTACTGCCTTTTCCCGCGCTGTTGATTACTGTGGGACTTCACGCCGGCAATGGAGGTCGCAGAAATCATGGTACTAAACAGCAATTTGGAGGCGTACTTTACTAGCAGACTTACCAGTTTTCTGATCAAGACAAATGGACCCAAGCGTTTCTTGACCACATGACTGACCTTCGGCGCCGAAATAAAGATGTTGTCCGGGTGAATGCTCTGACTGTGGTTGAAGTAGCGAGGATGGCCTCTGGAGAATGCGGGCTTCCCCTCGAACGCGACTGACAACTTTTTGTAAACTGAGGAGTGAGAGGGGATCTGATTATACCAAGTCATTACGAGCATTGTGAGAGATACACACGGAAAACATCTCATGGCCATGCCCGGTCGCAATCTTTATCATACCAAAGCAGTCGGGTCAGACCAGGTGTAGATACATGGAAGATGTGAGTATTCGGGTCCTCTCCAACAGCTCAGGTTGTTGGTTAGGAGGGTGAGCGTAGGACCCAGAGGATGTTGCTCAAAACAAGAGGGAAAGGTTATTCAGGAGCTCGAGCGCCGGCAAACGTTTTGCGCTTCTTGAGTGCTACATGCAAACCTTATGCTTTTATTATTGGGGCTGAATGGTGTTTCCAAGGCATGGAACATACCGCACAGGCCAACTTATGCATTTTTTAAAGCACGTTTTTTCTCTTTTTTAAAGGCAAGCAAATTTGCTTTCTGTACAAACCTTCCAGCTTGATTACGGACCCTTCGTTTTTGGCCCGTGAACTATGCCAATCAGACATGCATAAACGAATCATCGTCATTTGGGCGTCGCGGCATCGGCGGAGCTTGTCGTAATCCATGGTGTTGTCTTGTGCTGTTTTTTATAGTAAAATACTCTAAAAAGGGTCCTGTGCACTATGGCGTGTCCAAAAACAGTTTAATCAACAAATAACAGCCAAAAGTGGCTGCCGGTGCATGGCGCTCACAAATACCGCTTTTTAACGAGGCTACAACGAAACCATTTCTCCTCATAAACCAAGCGCCTTCCTCGATCCGCTCCACCAAAAATCACACCAATGAAGGACAGAGGGACCGGTTTTTGAGCAGTAAAGCCTTTGTGCTGTTTAATCATGTTTGGTGAATTGGATGTCTTTGTCCTCACACAGGGGAGCGCTTGGTGCAGAGAGTGAATGTGTGGTTGGGCTCACCACCCAAGTTGTATTGTACCATTTCGTTAGATACCTTTCCGAGCATGTCTAACAGGAAGGGGTTGTGCAGCTGGCTTGTCAGAGTCGTGCACTAGCCGTACCCGTACGATGCGGCGCGGCTGCTACTGCAGGGCTGGCCCATTTGGAGCAGCCACGAGATGAACTTACCGCGTCGATCAGGCGAAACAACAGACCCTTTCTGAGACTCTATTATGCAGTACAACTGGATGATGAACCCGGCTTCTCTTCCGCACCGTAACTGAATGATAAGAAACATTGTATATTTGCATGTGTTCAAATGTCATGACAAAACTGCGATTGTATTGTTTACTTCGCTAACTTCTACTTACTAACTATAACTTCTTCACTAACTTCACCCTCTTTTTGACCAGTAAGTAATCAGGTAAAAACCTGTACCTCGAACTCGAAAAAAATCTATATAAAAAAGGAGAAAAAGAAAGGAGATGGTGCATAGCATTTTCATCATCAATTGTGCTCTATACCTGATATATGGTTGTTACTTACTCCAGCTAATAAGATTTCCAACAACTCGTTTAGCATGTCATGAACTAAGGTGGCGATGCCTTCTCGCTTTGTGCTTACAGCAACGTACTCGGGGCTCAGTATCGCTCTCGCGAGCATCCGGTAAAACGACATAAAAGTTTTGGTTACTTGCAGTGACTTTCTACGTCATCAAGCCAGTCATGTACTGAGCGGCTGAGCCTTGCAGGAGGTGGTACAAAGTGTTGCAAGTATTGACAGCTTGCGGGGTGAGGAAAGGGTGGAGAGTGTCAGGGAACACGATGCCTTATGTGGGTTTGGTGGACTAGCTGAACGCCAGTGAATGTAGGGGCCCTAGCAACAGATGGCCACACATAAACAATAACCAATCAAAACCACAGTCAGTGTGTCAAAAGACAAGGGACGGCGCTGAAAAGGAGACAGGGAGCAATCAAAAACTTATTCACGCTAGCTCGGCGCTCACCAACTTCGTTCACACAGTCCCAGACTATCAGTTTAAAACCCAGTCGGCTGTGGTGGAGTAGCCGCGGTGCACAGTGCTGGCACGTTTCATCGGTCCTTAATAGCGTGACTGATGACGGGAAGCTCGCGTGAGGCCTAGCGGCACCTCAAACGGAGCTGTTCGCCGCCGAGCGCCGTTCTGTCCGGTCCTGCGGCTTCTCGTCGTGCGCCGTCCTATCAGCTGCGCCGACCTCAGGTGCTTCTCATCCCCGGCCGGACCCCGCCTACCCCGGCGGCTGGGACGATCCTCCGAGTCCTGGCAGGCCGCCGCCCTCGGCGCAGCCCGCCTGCTCAGCTCACCGCAGCCGACCCGTCGGCGGCGGCGCCGCTCGGAGGCTGCCCCGCCGCGAGAGAGGCGGCCCGCCGAGAGAAATGGGGCGGAACAAGCGTGCGGCGCCGGCCGGCCCCGTTGCCGGCGAAGGCAGCCGGCCGCGGCCGCCGCCAGTGCCCGTCCCGCCGCCGCGCCGCGCGCACAACCCGCTCAAGGGTCCCGCGCCGCCGCCGCCCGCGCCCGTGATCGCCGCGCCCCCCGCCATGCCGGCCTCCGTGACGCAGAAGCCCGCCGGCGGCGTGGCCAAGCCGCCGGCGCCGGGCCGCTCCTACTTTTTCGGCGAGTTCGAGCACCACGTGTCGACGGCGGCGCTGTCCACGGATGGCGGCTCGCAGGCCAGCGACGGCAGCTCGACCGACGTCGGGGTGTGTCTGGATGACTCGGCCAGCGACATCAGCCAGGACTCGCTGGTCACCTCCGACTCGGCCGTCAGCTCGCCGGCGCGGCGTCGCAGTCTGCGCAGCCACGAGCGCAGCCCCGAGCGCAGCCCGTCGCCGGCGCCGGCCGAGCCGCCGCGGCGCCGTGCCCCGCCGGGCCCGGCGCCGCCGCGGTGCGGCACGGCCTCCCTGCGGCAGCGCGCGCCCTCCGAGCCGCGCGCCGACCCGCCGGACTCGAGCGAGCTCGCCCTGCGCCGCCGCGACGCGCCGCCGCCGTCCGATGCCGGCTTCCACTTCCATCTGAACGAGATGGACGGCGGAGAGCCGGCGGGAGGCGAGGAGGAGGACAGCTTCGCCGGCCTGCGCGACTTCTTCGTGCCGCCTGACGCGACCATCCGCAGCGGCCGAGGCACCGTGCGCGGCGTCAAGAACCGCGTGCGCGCCGGCATCGCCACCTTCCTGCAGGAGAACACGCTGGCCAAGGTGAGGCACCGTGGGCGCTGGAGAGCGTGGTTTGCCCGGGCCGTGGGAGCCACGGAGTACACGTGTCACCCGTGGCGTGTCTGACGGTGGAAGGGCAGCATATTGTCACAGCGTCGTCCAGCCATGGCGTGGTGCTTCGGGGCGTGTCGCTATCATATATTCACGTGGTGATTAGTCAGCATGACGTGGGGCTCTGCAATGAAGTGCATTGTGTCAAGAGACAGGATTACATTGGCTGCTGTCATGTACATACATGCCCATTAATTGCACCAACCCTGTGACAATTACGGCTTAGGCTGCTACTTGGGCCAGGTACGGTCAAAGCCCTAACTTTTTTGGAGGGCCCTTTTTATCCTTTGATTGTGTAAGAATTAGATAGTACGGTGTCGGTACCTCAAGGCCCTTTTTGTTTTACAACCGAGCTCATGTGCGCCGCACATGTGAGAGTTTGGCATGCTTTGCATGTCATTGCTGTTGGCTGAATATTTAAGCACGACTCTGTTCCACACGGGCAACCGAGTCGTTGGGTACGACCTGGCCTCGTGACGATACATGTATTGCCTGTGTTGTTTGAGCATTAATCCCCAAGTATCCTTGGCATAGGAGGGAAAACTGACGCATTCAGCACCCTTGTTCCAACAACAACAGAAAGGAAAACGGATCATGTAGGCAAGCTTTACAGAAGCCGTCTTTGCCGGCCAAGATAGCCTCGTCGACTATAACTTATCGGGGATTTGAATTGCAACGGCACATCAGTTTTCGTACCCATGGCGCATGGGACGAACCAATCAGCTGTTAACCAGCTGTATCGCGTGTTCAGCTGGTATGTCCTGGGAAGATCGGTTCATGAGACGCGAGGCTTGCTTTCCCCTCGCTAATCTGCAGATCCCTGCCAGCGCAGCTGTGAAAGCGAGCACACGGACGTCGTCATGTGCAGTTAATTTGCGGTTTCGCTCCCAAACGGCATGCTGCTTGCGAGTCCTGATCTGGAATCATGCCGCGAAGCATCAGTATGCAGGTCATGAGCCGATCCAATGTCCGCCCCAGGCCGACGAACTCACCGGGCCGCACCAGCAGCTGGAGCGGCTCGTTGTCAGTCGCGTTGCGACACTTTTCCCAGATTCGCGGACGAGATCTATCAGGATGTGGCATCTTGCTGCAAAGTAAGCTATCTGTGGAAATCTAGCTCAATATCAGCAAGAAAACCGGAAAGGTCCTTTGAAGTGCACTAACCGGTGGTTCTCACAGTCGCGTCATGACATCCGATACACAGTCTCATGCTTAAGGCTGCCCCAGGCACAGTCTTCGGGGCAGAAGCGCCACGGCAGCCTGTAACAAGAATAGGGCTAGAAATGAACTTCGCAAAGACCATCAGCGCACTCATTCAAGCCCTTCATCCAATATAAGATACCCGGCGATGTGCCGTGGGTTGCCCGAATCACAGACAGCCAGCTGCAGGGTTTCGACGACCCGTGCTGAGTACAGAGGAGATGGATGCATGAGCAGACGTTTCACGCATAAACTCCCAACCGCATGCACAAAGTCTAGCTAAAATGCTCCTTACTTTCCGGAAAAACAATATGCGGCTCTCCGAATGTGCTCGGTTGCATGTCCTGCCTGCGGTCGATACATCTTCGAATTAGTCCCACCGGTAGAAAGCAGTAAAATGCGCCTCAACTAAACTACATTCATATAACACGTCTTTTATAACTGACAGGGTGTGCAAACAGGTGAAGAGCGCTATACAGATCAGCAGTTTGCGTGGGTCCCGGACAGCATGGACCAGTGGTCCTAGTTTAAGGTTCTTTTAGATCGACCAGCCCTGGAAACCCCATCATAACCAGCTGGAATACGAACAAGTCACTCACGCATGAGTGGGTAGAAAGGGAAATGCACAGGTAAACTACAGCGTGCATGTGTTATACCTATGTGTGTGTACATGTGTTATACCTTTGTGTTTACCTATACCCTATACCTACCTTTGCCCGAGGATATTTCATACAGGAGAAACGAAACGTGATAGTCGAGTCCGGGTTGGTCCACACCTAGCGGACGAAAGTTTGTGGAAAGCGCTCACACCGCTGCGGTGGACGTCCACACGAAAACTGAGCATAGCATAAGGGACTCAACTTAAAGAAGAAATTTTAGCAAAACCACAAGGCAACGCGGACCTCAATATGTGAGAACCTCTCTCTGCACATCCTTAAACCCCGTATGACGCTAAACGCATACGCGCGTTATAGGACGTGACTTTGGAAACGTTTGGCAAGACGTTGGCTTCCACATCGATATTCCCTAGCGAGCTACTTTGCAATCTCATATTCGGCGCCGGTCATCGAAACCTTTCGGCTTGGTCGTCTGTGTAATGAGTTGCACTCGATGCATGGTGCCATGGTTCATGCATCCAGTAGTAGGATGTTGGGGCTTGTACGATTGATTGCTGCAATTTTTATAGACAGTATCTGCGCAGGTTTGAAACATTGTCTGGCTGTTAGTTGCCTTAGTTTTTAATGCCCTCATTTGCTTAACCTTTTCCTCTGTGGCCATGCGCACTGCTGGAAAGGCCGAGTATTTTTTACAAAATAGGTCAGTAATTGCTCGATGCTTATCTTAAAACAGGTCTTCCAGGTATACTGAAGATATATTGCTTTTAGAGCATGAACTCAGGATTTCGGAACGTAGTTTACATCAGAACGCAACTGATACGAAAATGAAGTTATGTAGCCATAATTATAAAATCTGATGTAAATAATATCATGCTATAATAATATTCTGAAAGCATAATACGGCAAAATGAGAAACATTAGGTCATAATTACATCAACCGTGTAGCATGGTGTAGTCGTTAAGCACCATACCATATACACAGTACTATGTCATGACAAGTGCATCTGCCTCCAATCGTTCGCCGGCCAGTACGCCGGCCGCATCTCTGACCGGTACAGTCAGTGACCGGCCCCAGCCGCACCTGACTGTCACAGTCGCAGGTCGTCCCAAGCCGTACCTCTGACTGCCACAGTTGGTGGCCGGCCCCAGCGCGCCTCCGTGACCGGCCGCGGCGCCGGCCTCAGTCCGTTACACCGCCGACCGACCGGCCGCGGCTGCCGGGCCTCCGACGGATCGCTGACCACATAAAGCACGCTGAGCGCCGCGGTCCGAACGGTGCCGGCCGGCCTTCGGAGGCCGCGGCGGCCGGCTGCCGTCCGCGCCCGGCAGCCGGGCGCCGTGCACCGGCCGATCGATGGCTCGGCGCTCACCTGGCCCGCATAATCAGGCGAGGACGAGGCGCATCCGGCGAACGGTCCGCTCATTAGGCGCCGATCGCACGGGAGTGAGCGAGCCGGACGGCGGCCGGCGGGTGGCGCGCCGGAGGGTGGCCACCCCACAGGCGGCCGGTCGCACGCGCGCCGGGAGTTACGCGAGGACCGACCGCGGTGGCGGTGACAAGGCTCGCCGGCCGCGGCACGCATGCCTCACGTGCTGCGAGTCGGCTGCCGGCTGCGTTTGGAAAGTGCGCCGGGCAGGGCGTCGAGTGCGGACAATACGCCGCACGATCGCCGACATCTGCGGCTAATTGTTTTACAACGGGTTCGGCCGGAACAGTTAGCCGCAGGCGCGCGGCGCTCGCAATCGGAGCGGAATCGCGCGCCGGCCTGCGCCGCCGCCGCGCGGGTCGCGCCGCAGCGATCCGTCTTGCTCCCGGCGCGCCGGAGCGGAGACGCGCCGCGGCGTCGCCGCGTGGCCCGCCTGGCCCACTTCGCCCGGCTGCGACCGCGCTGCAGAACGGAGCCGAACGCGGCGCCGTGTTCCGGGCGGCGCCGGAGCACGCGCCGCGTCCCCCGGCTCGTTAGCTCGGATCGGGGCCGGCGCGTGGCGCGGCGTGGCGCGGCGCGGCGCGTCACCCGCGGTCCGCTGCCCGCCGCCGGCCCTGCGCCTGGGTCACCATGGCAGGGCGGGATCTCGGAAAGCCGGCGGCGAGGAGCACGAGCGCACCCTCCCACCGGCCCCGCCCCCGGGTCACCACGGCAGGATGGGATCTCGGAAAGCCGGCGGTGAGGAGCACGGGAGGCCAGTGCCGTCTCACCCACGGCGCGTCCGGGTGGGCCTCGTCCGGCGAGAGGCGAGGTATAGTCACGCGCCCTATCTGCTCATATCTAGAGCCGGGCGATCTGCGTTAAAAGGTCAGCTCCGTGGTGACCACGTCCCTGATATCCACGCCGCCCAGACCTCACAAAGCCTCTTGACGTTGCCCACGTGCAGGATATAACGTACTGATTATGCAAAGGGCGACTGCATTAGGCGAACAACTTCTTGATAGATATTCAAACATGAGTGTGCAAGCCTGGTGATTCAGTGGTGCTGTTACTGCCGATAACAAATATCAAGATGCTTTAAAACAACCTCGTGGTTAAGGGGAGCATGGGGTCATATCGTAGCCGAAACCGTTATGAAAGGGCACATTTTCTCCGCGTGTACGCGACGAAATGTTGATTTACCCTGATGACATCGCTGCGGCTTTGTCTAGTTCACGCGAAAAATCTGCCGCAAAAATCTGCTCCTGAGGTAACATCAACGTCCACCGGTTTTCGTGCGCCATTGTTATTTTGTTTGCAGTCATTGTTAATCCCGTCTACATATTTTTTTTATCATCATATTCGCGTTTTTAAAAAATAAGATCAGAGTTATGACCTTAACTACAAGCGCAGTGCGAAATGAGAAGCGTCGTGACGTTATTGCCAGTCTGTCTCATAATCTGTAGTCGGGCCTCGTACGCTGTTTACACCTCAACCTCACATTCATCTTGCTTGATCGGGTCAGGCGGTATTGAATTCCGTCGAGTTCCGCTTAACAACCGAATATAAATCAGTTCTAACGCTTAATATGCATTGCTCAATGCATAATGCCCGAAAACATCGACGCCGACACTATGTAAAAGGCGTCAAACTTTTCCTCTCACAAACTGAGACTAACACTTAATTATCTCGCTTTTCTGTGTGCTCGGATTCTTCTGATGTCGGATGCAGGGCGCCAACCGGGTCATGCACCTCTTCAAATAGTCAAAGTCGGCCAAAAAATCAAGTTGTGGACTAAATATCAACCCACGCATTGTCGCCTAAGTAGGTTTGTTTTATAACACTCCTTTAAGTAAAATAGAGGGATCTGCCGAGCTTTTTAATCAGAGCGTGTTCTCACACTTCTCCTCCGCAAATCGTTTTTGGTGGCGTTCTGGATTCACCCTTGGGTACATCTCCATTTATTTTGGTTTCCAAAGCTTGCTTCCCTGTGATCGGTCCGCAATGACCCTTCATGTGGAGCATCGTAGTGGCAGTCGTAGAAGTACTAGTGGTAAATAACACTATTAACAAAAGCCTTACGCGTGCTGTACGCCGACAGCTGAAATCGACTGATAACGTGCAGCAGACTTGCGAATATCCAGTCTCAATCCCACATTGTCTGACCGAGCCCAGATGAATGTCGCTGACTGAATCTAGATTATGACGAATGTTGTGCTGAGAAGTGAACGGCAGTTTCGACACCAAATGAGCGTGTGGTCCGATCATTTCATCCAAGGCGCCGTCTTAATGATCGCATTGACGACACGCTCGTGCTAATGAGAAAAAACGATCTACTGCGCAACTCACTTTAGAAAAAAACTGCTGAAACTGCTGCACAAAACCGGATGATTGCCACACGTCGACAAAAACCAACAGACCTCGACCTTGAACTGGCCACGAACAAGGCGGCGGGGAGGAGGGGGAGGGGTAAGGGCGTGGCACCGCTAACGCGCCATGAAGGGCACCCCCGGTCTCTGAGGCCGGTCAAGGACCTCACGGTCACACTGCCGGCGGGCACGACTGGTCACCGCAGGCGACGCCTCCCGGCCCCCGGCGAAACACCTGCGGCGAGCGGGGGGTCCCACGGCCGTCCTGCCCGCGGGTGGGGCTGGGTGGTGCTCGAGACACGCCTCCACTGTGACCTGGGCGCGGTCAGAGCGCCGCCGCGACCTGACCGCAGGGGCGGCACCCGCTCGCCGCCGGTGACCAAGGCCCAAACTGGACCGGTGTGGCAACGCCTGACGGCGCGGGCGGCGCCCGCCGACTTCCAAGAAGGGAGCCTGGGAGGAGGCCGTCCCGTACTCAGGCGCAGACTGCGGGAGTTAATCCTACGCCGCGCACGAGCGGCGAGGAAACCCACAAGGTCGCGATTGGCGACGCCCGCTATCCGGTGAGCATGGTGACAGGTGTTTTTCCCGGCACGCGGTGAGAGGTCACCGCGTTTCAATGACGCCTGTCCGCCCCAGTTGCGGGTGACAGGCCGGGTTGGACACCCCAGCGGCGCCGTTGCCGCCATTGTTCTGCACCGTTCTCATGTCACCCCACGACCCGACCGGCGCCCGCTGGTGACGGGTCATGTCAGGTCATGACCCGGAGCACCCTGCACGTGCCGCGTCACACGTCACGTGCAGAGGTGTGAGAGCGGTTCTCCACTCTCTCCCCACTCCCTGGCTCAGTGGGGAGCTCAGCGTGAGCTCAGTTCCGCTGCGGGGCGCCTGGGGCAGTCGAGAGTTCTGGCGCTGTCTTGTGGGGAGTCTGGCAGAACTCGAGATGTTGTGGAGTTTTAGGTCATGTGGGGAAAAATGCACTGTGCGTGATGAATACTTGCGAAATCGTGGTCAGGAAGATGCTGTGACGGCTCACGGTCCAGCGTGTCGGATCTGCGGTGTGTGGAGCGTGTGATGTGTCTGAGCGGAAGGCCTAAGTACCGAGTCTCTGTTTAGTTCTGGGGTGTCCTCGGTTAGTTTCAACGTCTGCCATCGGTAGCCGGCAGACACGGCGCCTCTTTCGCGTCCCGCCCAACCCGTCCGCCTGAGAGCTGAGAGCGTGGCGATCCCGCGCGCGACTGCGGAAGGATCATGGAGTCTTCTGAAGTGGCGTGTAGTATGCGGGAGGGGGATAGCCTTAAACCGACGGATTGAAATAATCACCTTGGGGTCGAACAAAACTCTTAAAGCCTCTCAAAATCAGATCATAGCCGGATGCGGACTGTAGACCAGCTAGTTCGCATCAGCTCGAGGGGAAGCGTGCAGCAGTTCTGATTAAGGCAGGTCACTCAGACATGGCATTCAGCTGTATGGACTACAGGCACGACCACGATGCAGATATTGCCCACTGGCCCCGTGATCAGGAGGTGTAATCTGCTTGTGGACGAGGTTTTCATCACGGTCAGGTTTTCACGCTTGGTCGGTATTTACTATTAGACGGAATGTCTTTACACTACTTTGACTTTCACCGTGACTAGAAACCGTAGACATGAGTTTTTTGTGGGGCTTGGCCATTACGGAAACCACACGGTACGTGTGATAACAGATTTCTTCCGAAGGTCAAATGCGTAAAATGAAACCTTGGAACATACAAAAACCCTGTCTGGACGAAACAGCGGTAACTTTTTCTCGACCAGTTCTCATCCAGTCAGAGGAGTCGCGGTGACTCTGTCTACCCGGCAGTCCATCAGCGCACACCTAAGTACCTCATCAACGACGACATCCGAGCGTATGTGACATTAGAACTCTCGAAAACATTCAAACGTTCAAAACCTCCCTCGTTTCCAATACTTCGCGGTGAACGGGGCCTCTCCACAACAGCCATCCCGGCGGGTCACGTGACCCGGCAGCCACTGACACTGACACTGACACTGACACGACCGCCGACGGTCACTCGTCCCACAGAGCCGGGCCGTTTTCTCCGCATGTCTGTCGGGAACGAGCGGCCGGCGCTGCGTCTCGCCGGCGAGCGGCGACTTTACGAGCGGGACGCGACGCCGCCGCGGGACGATCCTCGGCCGGGCCCGGTGAGGCTTGCCCCGGGGCGAGCCGGCGGCAGCGCCCCACCACGTCCCCCGCTGGCTTCATGAGGTCATTGGGCTGATATGGCAATGCAACGGCAGATGGCTTGGCTATGCTGATCCGCCGCTCTCGGTGGTGAAATGGCGGATCTCGGCCAGACGCCCACTGGATGAAGTGTGCAGTGAAGTGCCGCTACATGCGGCGAAGCTGGCATGGTGCAAACTGATGTTGCAGAGCGAAACATTCTTGTGAGGTCTCTGCATTTTGTTTCAGCTATCGTCTCATCTATTGCGATCATGTGACTCGCTGTTTTACATCTACGTCATCAAAGTGCCCCTCAGATTTGTTCCACAAACCCGAAGGCCTCATCTGTACGTTACAAATCGCACATAATTCCGGCTTTGTCTCTAACACCAGTGTTCCGTGCGCCGGCAGAGCTTCAAGGAGCGTGAGCGAGGCCGCCTGGTGGTCTACATCACCACCATGGGCATCGTGCGCAGCACCTACCAGAAGTGCCTGCGCGTGCGCCAGATCCTGCGCACGCAGATGGTGCAGTTCGAGGAGCGCGACCTCTTCCTGAGCGCGGCCAACCAGCAGGAGCTGCGCCAGCGCCTGGGCTCTGACTGCGTCCAGCTGCCTCAGCTCTTCCTCGAGGGACAGCTGCTGGGGGTGAGTGCGGTGCAGGGCCGGCAGCTGCCCGGGGTCTGCTCGGTGTGGAGGGGTCCTCGGCTCTTCATGTGCCGGTGTGGTGGGTACGCGTCGCGTGCATGTACCCACCCAGGAGGGCGTCTGAGCCAGGCAAAGCGCCGTGAGGAAGGAGGTCAGCTGCGTCAGGCATATCAGCAGTGAAGCGTGCCATTCAGGTAAAGCGGTCAAGATATTAATTTGATGTGAAATTTGCTTTTATTCCTTTCCATGAAATGAACAGCAGTTCCTCGTGTTAGTGATAGGAATAAGTAAGTGCTTAAATACATTAACACAAAATGTGTTAATGGCCTGCGGAGGATTTTATAAGTAGCCTATGAACACTGGGGCTTCATCCTAGCAGTAAAGTGAAAGGCGGCTCATTTTCAGTCGCGTTCAATTGTCAATGCGCGTAACTTCTTGGAAGTCGGATGTCAGATGCAGAAGGAATTTGCACCAGCGCAGGTGTTCCTAGAGGACGAATGGCGCAACACGTGCACAGTTGCCACATGCACGCCGCCACGGCTCATTGCCCAGCCCCAAAGTGCCTCCGGGTCACTCAGCCTTGCCATTTTCCCACCATTAGCTCCGACGCCGCCGCACCCTAAGCGCCAGCCCCGTCACAAACATCGGCTCGGCGCTCTAAGCTTCACGCTTTTCGAAAACGACCGAAAACGGCCTCAATTTGGGAGCTCTCGCCGGCCGAAGCTCCGCAGGACCGTCGTCAGACGCGTCCCTCGGCCGACCGTCCGCCAGCTCGTCACGAGCGTCGCGCGTGCGCCATATGTGCCGCGCTGGCAGTCAGCGCCAGAGATGCGCCGCGCGAGACGCGCGACGCGGCCAGCTGACGCGTCCTAGTGACAGACATTGGCGGTCACCGCTACCGGCACCGTGCGTACGGTGTATGTGGCGGCGGCCGACGCCGGCGAGAGGTTGCCGAGGGACGCCGCGGCGCTGACGCCGGCAGGAGGGATACCGCGCTGACGGTGGGGCACGGTTAAGGCACAGCTGATGCTGGTAGCGAGGCTACGGAGGGGGAGAAGACACTGACGATCAAGCATCTGGGTGGAGGCAATGCTGGCAGTGGGGCGTTAAGCAGACTGCGTCTTGCCACTGACGTAGTGACGCCACGACGCTGACGTCACCACGTCTGACGTCGACGTCGTTGACGTTCGGGGTGCAGGCAGTGGAACGCCTCAGCAGCACGCCTGACAGACTACCGCGCAGTGCCAGACTGTCAACGACGGCCGAGCTGGGCTGCATCACACGACAACAAGTATAGCCAGTTTGCTGGGACTGCACCAGTCACTAATACACTCTGCATTTTATCGACGCGACTGTCACGGCATGGTCGATACGAGACTAACGGCATCGTAATGCACATTCGAGCGCTATCGCAAACGGTCGTGGTTAATGTGCGTCCCATGTGACACTTCGTCAGTGGCTCCTTGGTGACCCATTTAGTTCCACAAACCATCCAGGTCAGGGAGGCAGTTTACGCTATCTGATCGTTTGATTGTCTCCCGTGGCGTCGTGGTTTCGTCATGCATTCTGCGCTCAGGTGACTTTGTGGCGCAGTCGTTTCGCAGTGTCGTCTCGACACGGAAGTTAACTTCCCTGATTCTGCTTTGAAGCTCCTCGCATGTCATTACGCTTGTACGTTTCCGGTTTGGCTGCCTGAGGCCGGCAAATTGTGGTGTGGTTAGCTATTTTGCATGTCGACACACCTTCAAACATTTGCAGATGCAGCAAATTGTGTTTCGCACAACGTAACAGGTGGACAACGCATGACAATGAAAATATTATGTTGTGCAGAAAAGCATAAGCTCGCTTTGACATTCGTTAGCGGGTTTCAAACATCAGCGAGGAGTTTGTCGCTAGCAGCTAGTACTTGTCATCAAACGTCGACCAACGCATACCAGAAGCAGGCCCCCTAAACTCCAAGAACGATAAATTACCGAAACCCGTATCCATGAGTGTTAAGCTGAGCGCCTCGCGATCTCGAGACATGAGGACTGTCTGGAGTCCACTCAGCTAGCGGCCTGTACTCCACCGCTCCCCGAACTCACTGGGAGGCCGGCCGCCCGGCCACCAGCACCGTAGCCGGCTCGATAACCGGCCCGCGCCGCTGCAGCTGGCGTCAGCCGGCTGTGTGCTGGCTGGTGACAGGCGGGCCGCGGACCAGCCGCCTGACGCGGGTCCCGGACACGGGGTCCGCCCACGGAACCTGGAGACGGGACCTGGAGACGGGGCCAGACACGGGATCCAGGCACGGGGTCCAGACAGGGAACCCGGACGCGGGACCCAGACTAGGGGACCCTGACACGGGACGATGACACGGGACCCAGACACGGACCCTGACACGGAGCCCTGACGTGGGACCCAGACATTGGATCCAGGCACAGAACCCAGACACGGGACCCTGACAATGAACTCTGACACGGGACCCAAATATGGGACCCAGATACGGGACCCGGATAGTGGACCCTGACACGGGACCCTGACACGGAACCCAGACACGGGACATGGACGGGTCGAGTGCGCCGCTCCGTTTCAGGTGGCCGCTCCGCACCGGCCCGGGCTCGTGCACTCGGCCAGGCCATCCCTGCAGCGTGAGACATCATGCATCATGCGACATCAGAGGGTGACACGCACCCGGGGCTCAGAAATACTCAGTGCGTGGCATGTCTTGACGTGCATATCAAAAGTTGCTTGAGTGCATATGAACGACAGTATTAATACCCAAACGTTTTCAAAACATTTACCCGTACAGACCTGTTGCTCGTCCTATTGCAAACCCATTGCTCGTTCTATTGCAAACCTATTGTTCGTCCTATCACATATTCGACTATTACACGTCCGACCACCATGGACTTACCCTTCTGGCGAATGTTCCGAACGACTCGTGCCTTGCGTGCCATCGAATGGGCAATCATAGCAATATGTAAATGAGCTTATCCAATAAGCTCACCTCATTCAAGCAGCTTTGCACTAAAGTGCAGACCTCAACATAAAACGAGGAAATCATTGGAGTGCATCGGCACTTTTGCAGTGACACCTTCGCATACATGGATATTGAAGAGTTCGGACGCACCAAATATATCATATCCAAAACAGGGAAATTCGGACATGGTTTCATTCTTAGTTCCTACATGCTTCCAATCGACGATAAGGGCAGAATAATGAAAATCGTGTCAATACAAACACTAAACAGATGGCGAAGCGAAGCGAAACACGTGTCAGAGGGAGTCGCCGCATTTGAGTACGCATGTGATCACTTCAAAGTAGACTTACACTTTCCTTAAGCTTCTTACCGCCAAAGCTAGATAACGATTCCCCGCCCACTGAAACGTACGTATGCCAATGCCGAGCTATCCCACGGGCGCTGATCAGCCATTATTCATGATAATTGTCAGCCTGTAACTAGACAAGCCAGCCATTAGTCACAGTGGATAACAGAGCCTTCGCGGGTCGTGCCCGGATATTTCAGCTCAACGTCTTCCCCAGGGTAACATCGTCAAAGGCCATGGAGTGAGCCCCGTAAGGTGACCGTCGTCCAAATTTATTTTAGATTGTCACCGTATAAGAACATCCATATTGCGGTTTTGCACGGTTTGACGGCGTTCAGGGGCTGTGAACATTAATCTTAGTTGCGAAATGTAAACAGACATTGTTCACTTGGATATGCTACTGCAGACATTCTCCACGGTGAGTTTCAGAAGCATCTTTTTGTGAACGAAAGCACACACTGCTCGGCACAGACCCCGCGTCACCAAGTCACATTTGCGTGCAAGCGACCGGCGGCGGCGGCCGTGAGTGGCCGCCATGCCGTCCCGGAGCGCCGCCGGCGTCGCCAGCCGGCCGGAACGGGTCGGCAGAGCGGGCGCCCCGATGAGCCGCGAATGAGTGCAGGGCTGGGGAGGCGACGACCTCGCGCGCGGCCTGGTCACGCGACGTCGCTCGGCCGAGACAGGCAGACGCAGCCCCAGCCGCACTCATGGCAGACGTTTGGCAATCGTTCCGGCGGAGGTTCCGCAGTGGCGGTGGTCCACTGTCGGTGCTGCGCTTACGCCACATTCTGATAGGCTACCTGCCCTCCTTTGCATTTCTAGGGATTGAGAAAGCTCTGGGCGGTGGGCATGTACCGTCAAGAGCGGTCGGGGCTGGTTCAGACAAGGGGGCTGTTAAGATGTTGGGTAACCAAGACACCATGCGAAGCGGAATTAACAAGAAAGGGCTACGGACTTGCGTTCGAAGTGTCTAGGCCGACCGTTGACGACATCGGTACAAGTACTGCAGCATAGCATACCAGTTCGCAGACATGTGACGTGAACATTCGTTGGAAACTACGACGCACGCCACGGCATTGCGACACGCATCACCGCAGCACGCCTCAACACCGCTCCGAAATCTCGCCCATGATGCAGCCCTCTCCCGGCGTGTAAACGGGACGCGTTCTGCTCCGTCCCGGCCCGGAAGGCGCGTCGCCTTGCGGCGACGGTAGCGCCGCCACGCGGCCGGCCCGGCGACCGTTAGGAGCGGCGCGTCTGGGAACTGCCGCCTCACGGCTCCGAGACACAGGCAGAGCGCGCCTGTCGAGAGCCGGCAAGGGAGAGAGGGAGCCGAGAAAACAGGCAGAGAAAGGGACATCGGCACGTGGAAGGGAGATGGAGGTAGGGGAGATTTGGGGATAGTGATAGAGGTTTGGAGAGACATGTAGATATATGTGAGAGATGCATGACTGAGCGGTACGTAGATATATGTGGGAGAGGGCAGGGTGAGGATGAAAAAAGGGGAGAAGAGGGATTAAGGGAGAATAAAAAACTGGCTGATGCCGATATTTGGATAGATGAACAGGGAGATATTAGAGCTGGAGCGGGGGAGATGGACGCATATAACGAGATCGAGAAAGAAGAGCGAGGCAGGAGGGAGAGTGGGTAGTTGGAGATGGAAATAAAGGCTAGCTTTTAACAAAGGAAGAAATGGAGATGGACAGGTAGGAAGTGGCTGTAAATGCACTAAATATAGCTTAACTGCTCCAATGAATCACCCGAAACCAGCGACGATTCTACAGTGTCGGGCTGCTCCAGCTGAGGCCGGTCCTGCCGCCGTGAGGCAGGGCCTGGTACTTGATGGGTCGGTCGCCGGGCGTTCCAGGCCATTAACGTTCCCAGCCAGCCGTGATTCGGGACTGAATCAGCAGGCTTTCGTAACAACGGCCTGTCGGCCAGGAAGGCGTGCACGCGCCGCCGACGCGCTGTTCTGATTGTGCAAAGCTCCTCACGGAACGAACGTCCGTGGAGCGGTTAACCTGCACCTTGATTTGGGATGGATCAGTCCAACAAAGCGAAGGGCAGACAGTGTATGCTCCTGAAGTTGACGGGGAAACGTGCATGTCGGCCAACACAACAAGCGTGCATTTGGATCAATTAGAGGACCACACCCGACACGCCCTCTGACATACGCACATGAGAGCGCCGGATTTCCCCAACCTTGGTTTGAATCCACCGTGTCGTGGGGGACGTTATGGCAAATTCACCTCTGAAAATTAAGTTCGATGGCCCTTCATATAGCGGCGTCACTTCCAGTAGCATCGTGCAACAACGAGCTGTATGACAAACTTTCCACCGGAGGAATACGCGGTGTGCCTTTTCAAGCATTCGGAGAGACTTCGGCACACTCCGTGGTTTTCCCATAGCCCCGCGTGTTAAAGCCACGGTGTCCAGTTATTCTCACGCGTTAAACGCCGGCGTTCAATCTCGCTCCCATCACGCTGGGCAGTTATGCTAAAGCTTTGGTTACAGTAAAGAGAGGTGGAGTGGGATCGGCAGCTCCTGCCGGCGCTAAGGAACGAATAGATGGTGCGAGTTGTGCGTGCCAGCGACGATTGCAGTCTTTCTCGTTTTGTTTTCTGACATTTTTCATGGCTTTGTCCTGAGCATTCGCCATTCAGTATTTCGTGAAAGACGACACAATAAATATTCTACTTTCCATCTTAGAGCTATTTCAGAAACAGCATTTTCCTCACATTTTTTTGTAGCCTGATGTGTTAACGTGCGTTGTTAGTCTGATGTGATTGATTTCCCTGCGCATTGGCTGGAGTGGCACAATTTGTTCAACTCGCTAGTGCCGGCTTCATATCCAGAACAGACTTGTCAACATTTCTGACACCATGTCTGCACCCGTGCCGGCAGGGAGGAGACACTGTGGAGCGCCTGAACGAGACCGGAGAGCTGAGGCGGATGCTGAAGCCGTACAAGGTGAGAGGAGACGCCATGGGAGCGCGGCACCGGCCAACAGCGGCCACCGCAGGCGCTGAGTCGTACATCGCACGTGGCTTTCGGAGCGGAATCGTCCTGTAGCTGTATTTTTATGTCTTTGTATTTTTATGTATTTTTATGTTTTTTATGTATTTATGGCTTTCCTCGTTATGTTATCATAAATAACAAACGTCAAGAATTAGTGGCATGCTGGTGGTTGAGTTTGACAAAGTTCAAGTTTTTCATTGCAGGCATTGCACCGCATGCCAAAAAGCGCGATGCATACAACGTTGAGTAGCGCAGTGAATTGTGGTTGAACTTGTCTTTAGTTTGTTCATCCCTTACTTCATGTTCTCGAACTTATTGCAAGCTCTTCTTTGTGCGCAATGTACTGCACGCAGCGTAGAGCACTGCACACAGTGTTAAACAGTCACTGCACCGCGAATGCCTCTGCCTCAACGATGCTCAATTAGATGGTTGCGTCAGAGCTCTCAGGGACGCACTGGGTCGGCACAGTGCTGCGAGCGCGTGGCCAGTGTCTCACACCAAAACGGACCGAGTCTCGCTGCTGCGGCGGCTTTCACCGTATCACGGGGCGATCCGGCCACAAGCCCGCTCGTAAAATACCGTCCACGTGGTGCGGTAAATTGGCGCCTCCCAGGTGCATCCGCACGAGAAGATCAGGGCGACGATGCATCTGAACAGGCGGGTGGCATTGTGTCCTGGTCGTGAGCTGTTTAGCTGCCGAGGTATGAGCGACCAGTACAGTGGCTGCTTTATGACTTTAATTAACTGCAGTTCGGCTGCCTTTGGTGGGAGTCAGGCTGGTTTGCCGCCTCGACAGGATCTAACGGAGCCAATTTAATGGTTCCATTCGTTTTCATTGTACGGAATTATTTTTTTCTGGAGCGACGTGGTGTCGACCGGGATTAAGTGGCGCTTGCAGTCAGCCATGCCTGGGTGGCATGCATAAATATGTATAACCGTCTGCACGCCATAGGCAATGAGCACACCATGCAAGTGAAATTCAACTGCTCTAGGAAGACGTCCCGTGTTACATAGTCATGCGTGACACCAGAAAAGATGTGCCAAGAAGCTCGATGATGTGCATATCTATGCACCAACCACTCTCTTCAAACCACCGCCCCATGTGGTATCCGTGCCATCGACAACAAGCGTGTTGTTCGGACCAGTGGATCACACGCCGCTGAAGAGACGGAGGTGGCTGCGGTGGCGCGGCGGCGGCCGTCTTCAACCGCAGTGCGTCGCCTGCTTACCGCGGTCTCCGCCCTGACCGGCGGTGCCGACAGTCGCGCGCCTCCGCCGTCTGGCAGCACGTGCTGTCCCTCCAGTCTGGCAGCAGTCAGTGGTGACAGACGGCGAGGCCGCGGCTGATTGGTTGCCACCGCGGACAGTTTCTCCGCAGCCCCCCGCCGTCTTCTGGTGTCGGTCCTCTCCTGTATTTGCCCGAGGCTTTCAGTCTGGTGGTGTGAGTTTTCCCACTTGGCTCAGTCGTTGTCCGATATCATGCATTTAGCAAGGAAGGCCTGGCCTAATGCCCGAAACCGATCTAGATGAAATCGGTTATTAGACAGCACACACGCATAGGTTAAACCGGTCTGTCGCACCTCCGGAATGCAGACCCAAAAACTTGAAAAACTGGTTCAGAGCGCAGTGTGCGTGGGTCTTGACCTAGGCTCAAACGGGCATTTTTGTTCAAACGTGTATTGACAGGTACAGTAGTCTCATTCTTACTGATACTGGAGGTGAAGGCAGTAAAAGAGAAACAGGACAATAAAGCGGCGGGGAGGTGCACTAGCGTCGTCCACCTTCGGACGCCATTTCCCAACAATGCCCCGCTGAGGGTGCTGCGAGCCCCGCTTGTGAAACGGAGCAGTAAATCGGCACCGCACAGCCCGTCCGGTGAAAATGAGCGCGCTCGTCCGCTCCTAAGCGTACCCCCGCCCTCGCAACGGGCGACGGTGGACCCTCCGCCGGCCGGCGGCGCTCGGCCGGTGGCAGGGTCAGGCGCCAGTGGGTCACCGGCGCCTGGATCTGAAAGTGGCCGCCGCAAGATGGACGGGACGGGCCGAGACGGGTCGCGACGGGTCGGGTGACTGGCCCGTCCGGGGACAGCGGGGGCAGCGGGGCGTGACCGCGCCGGCCGGCCGGCCGGCCGACGCGTCCTCCCTTTCACCCTGGTGACCGGGGAGCCGCGCCCGCCGGCGCGGTCCTGCGCCCGCCAGGCCGCGGCGCTGCTATCGGCGCGCCCACTTATGCAGATCGCCCGCCCCTATTATCGCCGGCCGGCGTAAGGCTCGCCGAGCATGCCGCGCCGGCAGCGCCGCCTGCCGGCGAGCGGGGCCGGCAGCCGATCGGTCCGAAATGCAGTAAACAGAGCCGGCGGCGACGAGGGTTCCCGCTGCGCCGCCGCCTAACGGAAACTGGGGCTTGGGCGTGGAGGAATACGGGCCTCGGGGGCCAATTGGCTGTTCCTGCTGTAAATAGATGTGAATGATTACTTCCGGTGGTAATATCTACCATGACTGTTTTGCTTTGTGGACTGTACTGTCCACATTTCTTCACATTTTGCCTTTATAATAACGTTCCTTACCGTGGTTCTTAATGTAGGTGCTGTATGCAAATACAGATGCTTTCATTTTACCCGAATAACAGGACTACTTTTGTATACTTTGTGTATTGTTTGCATTCGCTGTAATCCTCTAATATTTTTGACCGCATAGATCCGAATGTCCACAAGTCGTGTCTGATATAAATTCCGGCGTATTTCTTGCGTGGGCTTCCAGATTTTGGGGTTTTGCCAAGGCGCGTTCACCTATCGGAGGGAACGGAGTTGAACGGCGGGAAATGTCTCTGGAGCCCAGCGCGGAGTGTCACGGAGTGCCGCGGAATGCTACGAAGTGCTGTAGAGCACTGAATGACTGTCACAAAGAGCTGCTGAGTGCTGCAGAGTGCCCGACTGTCGGCCCAGAGCACACGGTCACACCCGAGTGCCCGCGCGGTAAAGACCGCCGCCGGCTTTCCCGCGGCGTGGCGTGCTCCACGTAGGCGAGAGAAATCAAAAACCACTTAACCTATCGCAGCCGGTGTCGATAAAGCGTTCGTCGTCTCCCGGCCGCTCGTCGGCCGGCGGCGTGCCGCGGCTTTCTACGTCTTCGCGCCTTCTCTCTCGGCGGCCGCGCTGACGAGCTGGTGCAGGTTTCCGACGATAATGGTGAAACTGCATGACTGCGGCGGCTGCGGCGGTCCGCGGCGCCGAACAACTGCTGACGGCGACGGTCGACTCGCGGAAGGGAGGGGGCCGAGGTAAACCCACCGCGCGCCCCGCACGGAGCCGGTGGCGTGGTCCCGTGACCCCTCCATCCCCCCCTCCCCCACCCCGCCTGGAGTGGTGTATGCATGCCCACGTTCGCGGCCACTGGTCCCGGCAGCGCGGACTGTCACGCCGTCGGCCGCGGCGGAGAAATCCTGCAGAGTTGGCGCATTCGGTGGGGTCACCACCGCCGAGCCTGCGCAGTCCTGTTTACGGCAATTTGCTTTTTCTCCAACTTCATCGCAAGTGATCACGGCTACTTCACTCGCAGGCCATCTGAGAACCGTAGAGATATATGAGAGCCGTCGTTTTTGTAAGCGGCGAGCTTCGGATGGCTGCCCTCGGCAGGAAAGCCGCGTAAATGCTTTTGTAGCCTGTTCAGGATGAGTTAACGAGGCTTCTTTGTTCGCTTGTCGGCGCCGAACGAATTTCATCATCCGATGGAGTTTGCTGAATTGGGCCTCACGGTTTCTCCATTGTCTCGCGCTCCGATCGAACGCTCAAAGGCCAGTTTGACGCACGTCCGGCACCTCTTTGGAAGATTTCCTGATATTGTTGAAATATGAAATTTGTTGGGTACGCTATGGCGATGATTATCTGCCCCGCGCGACACGGTTCGGCTGCAGGAGTGTTGAACACTGGGCCAAAGCTGTTTGCATCAGATCGCCCGTCCTTTGGGAAGTGCTGTTACATAGGTACAATGCTTTTAGGTGCATATAAGGAAGACGTCGTTAGAAAGGCTAGCATGACAGGCCGCTTCGCAAAATGGCACTGTCTATTGTGGAAGCACAAACTATTACGCCGCTGTGGTATGGTCCAGGAACGAGCCATTACAAGATAGCTCATTGCTTCGCATTGCCTGCAATACATAGCTTACACTTCATCGGCAACAATATTGTGTAAACTTTTAAGACATGACTAGCCGTTTGCGCAATGCCTACGGTGTCGAAGTTCGTGTACGACGTTAAATACAAACGGTGTAGGGAGCCTGCAGCCAGCAAAACCGCGCTGTAAACGTCGCCATTAATGCTGTGCACGTCAGTCGATTAGCTGCACCGGCTCACCTGCGTTCGGAGTAGCTTCAGGCCGGCTGCACGAGAGACACAGCTGGGCAACTGACGGCTCAAGGAGTGCACTGACCCCGCCCGTCCGTTGCAGAGCACCTCACCGGCGTCGGCGTGCGACAAGTGCGGGGGCTTTCGCATGCTTCCCTGCACGTCCTGCAACGGCTCCAAGAAGTCCTGCCACCGCAACTACTTCACGTCCGAGTGGGTGATCCTGCGCTGCTGCGCCTGCGACGACTCGGGCCTGATCGTGTGCGACCGCTGCACCAGCTGACCTGCGTCCGGTCAAGGCCGCGGCGAGCGCAGAGGCGGCACCAGGGACCGCGCCCAGGGAGGACAGACGTCCCAGACAGACGAGCCGTGCCGGCTGGGCGGGGTGGTGCTGGACGTCCGGCGGCTGCGCCGGTGACGGACTGCGCGCTTCCGTGAGGTGTGTGGGAGTGGATCTTCGTCCGACTCGGCTGCCATGCAGATCCGGGTGGAAGTGGTTTCGCTGGAACTTGGAGCAAAGACAGCTCTGTGCTATAGTCGGAAGAACCACTTCGTTGGACGCAAATGGTGTCGAGTCGTCGACACCGTCTCCCTCGGCAGTCTGATGCCCAGGGTTCCTCTCTGATCAGACATGCACTGCCCAGCCCACCCACATCGAGGGGATCCAGGAATCTGACGGAGCGTTGGCTGTCGGGAGGAAGAAGACGGGCTTCAATATGACCAGAAATTCAGTGAAGATCAACAGCCCGAGTGCACTAGCGCGCAGCATTCGGGGTTGGATTTTGGCGTGACGATCTAGCGTTTTATTCGGCGCGTTTCACACGTTGTCACCACATGAAGCGTTATTAAGGCTCACTCTCGCACGACGCACGAATGTGCCTGCGGCGCTCTGACCGCGAAAACTGTCACGCGTTCTTAACAGCCTGTTCAATTGCAATGTTGATGACCGTGCAAGATTCATCGCACTAATTCCCCACCGCGCATCTGCTTAGCAAAGTCAGAAAGCGCCGCATCGACTTCGCATGTGCGGTGTGCACATCTGTAGCGACAAACAACTTCGGGACGTTTGTGACGTCACCCGCAGCAGTGACGCTGCGGAATGCGGGGCCGCTGAGGAGCCGCAGCAGTGGGGCGGTCGGGTTTCCCAGTTTTCGCGGACGAGCGTGTCCGGTGACAGGCGCCGGCCATTCGTGCTTTGTTGGCGGTTTCACCGGATGGCGCGCAGTTGGCTCTTGCCATGAGAAGCAGTGACGCGCGAGTGGGTTGGATTGTCTTTCTTTGTCGGAGGGTTTGTGTATCGTTAGGTGGTGAAGTAACCAACCATTGCGTCAAATATATTTAGCGGAAGGTCGTGGTGCATGCCGATTGTTTGTTGCCGTGTGTTAACGCGGTCATTGAGCTGGAGTAATGACCAGGAGCTGGCTTGGCGCATCCCAGGGTGGCCTGCACATTCAGAACACTAGGCGAAGCTTTCCGGTAAACCTCTGACTAGGTACACCGGCGATTGCATCGAAGACCTTAAAAGCATGATATATGCCAATTTGAGGCCATCTGAGGAAGGTGTTAGTGATAGGAACGACAGTAGGAAACCCCTCACGACGAGCTTCTGTGTCATTAGTAAATGTGTCGTTCATGCAGCTTTGGACGGAATGTCAACTGCTATAAATGCACGAGATTATTCCATAACGGTTTGCCCGGCAGTGCTCAGCATCTTCCAATGGTGTTGGTGGTGGAGCCACCACCATCTTCCAATGGTCGTGGATCATAGGCCTGCACGTGGAGCGTTAAAACTTTGTGACAGAAACGAGCTCTGAAGTGGTCTTTAGGGAGGTCAGCCCATGCTGCCAATAACGTTGAGAGCGATGCCTTAGGCTAAACGAGATTCATGGCCTTTTTACACGGCCGCTATTTTGCCGCGTTTTTTGCACGGTCGTTTGTTTTGGCGCCCTTTTACACGGCTGTTTTTGTTTGTCTGTTTTTTGCGCGCGCTGAACCGACGCTTAAAGCTCAAAGCCATAGACTTGCATCGAAAGCGCGTCCGACGCTCTGACGTCATGCTTGCTGAGACGTGCATCTGCTGACGTCATACTTGCTGAACGCGTCATTCTTCTCGACGGCAAATCACCGCTTCACACATGATATGATTTCTTCTCACGTCTGATCCCGTCTGGTCACGACGACACTGTTCGAGACAAGGGGAGTCTGAGGTTCGTGGCCGCATCTTTCAATGTCTCATGCTCGAGCTACGGTGCTATATTATAGGACGATGTCGTCTAAAAATAGACCGTGCTTGTCATCAGCAGCTTTTTGCTTGCCCCCAGGCATACTTTAAATGACTCAAGAAGGCACCTTTACATTAGGTATCCATCACTTAAAACGTGACGGGCAGCTAACATGGACGCAGGAACAGGGGGGGGGGGGGGGGTCAGGAAGGGTGCATGGAAGGGCGATTCCCCCTCCACACACACCTTGACGGGACTTATTACAAAGTTTTCAGACACGAAATCGGGATAATGTTTCCCACAGTGTCTTAGAAAGTAGTAGTCAGTTGGCATTTGTCTCCATAAGATTCAGAACAACTTTTCGATGCTTTGGCTAGGTTCACTTTTTTCGTTCACTTAAGTGTCGTCCTCTTCGGGAGATGGGAACCAAATTTAGAGTGGTGGAAGTTGGCTGCTATGCAGGTTCTCGTCGACATGTCATTTTCTCGTCGATGAATATGTGCGCTATTTTGTTGATGTCAAGATCATTTGCGCTCATCGCCATGCGCAGCTCACACCACATGTGCGTGTGCTGTGTAAGTTTTTGCGAAAGTCGAAAGCAGTCAGTTTTAGATAATATGACCATGAAGGTAACTCCCTAGAATGAACAAAAATTATCATTGATGTGTCGTTGCAATGGTAATAAGCCATTGCTATGAGAACAATTGTTGGACTATTGTTCCATGGCAGGTAACTCCCTGGAATGCAAAAACAAGCTCGGTGGCGTGGAGGTACAATGGTAGTAATGCTGTGGAACAATTGTTCGGACAATCGCTCTCATCTGCGTGTTAGTACGTACAACGCGTTTTGGTCCGCCTATTTTCAGGTCGTTTTTAGGTGTTACGGAGTCCTGAGGGCTGGAACCTTTCGGGAGAATGAAGAGCTATATGCGAATGTAAGGGTGTCAATCTCGCACGGCCAGTATGGCACCGCCTCAGCGTCATACAAATGTTCTATAACGGAATCAAACAAAGACGCATTGAGAAGCAAATTTACTTAATAGAGAAATCACGTTTTTTAGAGCAGTCCTTTCCACGTAGAAGTATGATAATAGTTGACTTTAAGTGACCTCATTTCACCATGTCTGATGCTTGCTTCAGAATCTTCAAATGCAGAGCATTGCCTATTAAGAGGGAATAATGACCCAACAAACGACATCTTTTCGTTGGATGCACAGATTCAGAGTTGGAACGGGACGCAGCGTGAGCTCTCCACCCCGGGCAAGACTATGCATTAGGGAAGACCAAAATCTTGAAGAGTTCCCTACAAAATCAACGTCGCTGCGTCGTCAGCCGCCCGGAGCTCAGCAAAATTCATGCCCCGTTGCTGCCTGGAGCTCTAGCGGCTCAGGAATGGATTGTCTAGCATTCTGAAACACGATTATCTACACTATGTATGGCGTAGGCGGAAACTACACCTACGCCATACAAGTGTGCTCTCTAAACTCAAACCCCAGAGCATGGAGAAACGGAGACGACTGGGCAATGGTTCAGTGGCGAACTCAGGCGGAACCCACGTTTCCCTGACTCTGATTCACTAATGAGGCCTATTTTTGCCCAGTAGTCAAGTTAAGTCAAAGAACGATGTGTGCTCGGGAGAGGCCAAAACGGATGTCGTATACTGAGCTCGACGGTGTGAGCTAAACTGAGCTTGACGATGTGAGCTATATTAAGCTCGACGATGTGAGCTATACTGAGCTCGACGATGTGAGCTCGACTGGGCTCGACGATGTGAGCTATACTGAGCTCGACGATGTGAGCTATACTGAGCTCGACGATGTGAGCTATACTAAGCTCGACGATGTAAGCTACACTGAGCTCGACGACTGCACTCAGTGAAGTGTACCGCGTGGTTGGCTATGTCCATGCAAGGTGCCAGGGCACCGTTCTGGTTTGAGGAAGATAAGGGTTTGAGGCCATGCGGTTGCGGCTAACACGCAGCGATTCATTTATGTCTTGAGGAAGTTTTGGGGTCATCTAGGAAGAGCGCTCGCGTACAGCCGTACTAGTCAGTGGCTTCCACAGGACGGGAATAGCCGCAGGGCATGGCTGATGTTAGAGCAGCGGTAGGATGTTAGACTTAACTGATTTGAGCGTTAAAGGTCATGTGACGTCAGTGTGCCGGACGAACTGCGTCAAGTATTGCTGCACGTTTAACTTCCGCTGTCCGGTTCCGCCGTAGACTTGGAATTTAATGATCAGATGGTAAGGGTCAGGGCTTACACAGCAAGGACTATTTAGTGTTAAGTCTAATCTCAGAAAGATTTCCACTAAAAAGTTAAGGTTTGAATCATAGTAAGAAGTAAAAAATCCCAATCCCTGAGCGCATAAACGTTGTGTACAATTCAACCAAGTCCATTTTTTTGTGTTGAGCCGTCTGAGGGAACATTTTGAGCACGTGATAAAACAGTGCTGAATCAACACGAGTCATATTATCCCTATGAACTTGTGTGAGCTTAGCAAACAGAGCGTTGAACAAACTCGATGAAGTCTGCTGTTTTTAAGCGAATGAATATAGCAGATACTTCCAAAATAAACGGTCATGTTTGCATTTGGGACAGCCGGCATTATCATCCACAATGCCTCGCGCATCCAGAAATGATGGCCTAAATTACCTGCTACCAACTAGGTCTCTACGTGGATCATTTATTTAGATTTTCTTACGTCGGACATTAGGGCTCAAAACGGAATGACATGTTCTACACAAAAGCAAACTGTGTTCTGGATCACCTCAGGGGAGCAACTTATTTTCATAGTATTTTACATGTTCCGCAATGTACGTCACCATCATCGACAAATTCGCTTGAATTTCACCTCAACACTGCTTTTTATTTGTTATTGGTCCGCTTGCTTACACCTTCAACTACTTCTGCTTCTCAAGAAATGAAATGAGAACAAGATTATAGAAAGTCTTTAATTCCCGCCATCACCCTGAGATGACCCAAAAGGGACGAAGACACACTGGCAAATTGTTTTCTAGTGTTTTCTATCGTCATTCGTCCAACAGATCGTGTAAAAATATCATGATGTTGATGATGACGGGCCCTGCCCCGCCCCAACATCCACCCCTGGACCTATGTCAGTGCAATTTGATGTTCGAGCGATTGCCTTTCCAATCAGCTCGATATTGTGACAGCGTTTGACAATATGGAGCAAATAACATTTGTAGATACATGCACATTCATGCATTTATGCATAATTTTCTGAACAGTCGTGGATCGGTTAGCCAATGGACTCCTAGATTGACTCTTAGTCTTAGGGTTGGTTTTCTGTGTTTTCTTTTGTGAGCTTCAGAATGTTTTGTTACTGTAGTTCCAGCTTAGGACATACATATATATATATATATATATATATATATATATATATATATATATGCATATATATACATATGTATATTTATATGTATTTATATATATATATATGTTTGTGGGTATATATATATATATATATATACCCATACATAGATATGACAGTATTTTGTATTGTCATATTAATAATATTGTCATATTCATGAATACATTAATATTCAACAACTTTTTCCTCATTCATTCAAACCCAGAAAAGAAAACATCAGCAAACTTGACCTACAACACTATACATTCATGAAGGTTCAATTGTGCTATGAGATTTAATGAAATTTCTTAACGAGAAACACCATTGCCGAAATGAATCAAATGGATGGATACATTTATGTCATTTAGTACACTGTCACGCTTCCGGCCATTTGGCTTTCGTGTGCCTCGAATGCATCAAAACAAGGCATACAAATCAGAACGGTGTTAGCCTTCATGTTTCAACGCCGTGCCGCAAGCAGCAACAGTAGTGCGGAACTAATCAATCAAGCTTTGGGCGATGAATTCTCATTGAGAGTGCGCGCAAATGGACAGACATGAAGAGAGATGGAGGTAAAGTGAAAGCGCTCTGGAGGAGGAAACATCCGCCCTGTCAATCCCCTCGTGCATGACCCTGCATCCTTGCACGCTCCGTTGCGCCGATAACTCGCTGCAGCCCGCTGCGGACAGCTCTCACGGCCAATGCCCGGCATCCCGCTCAGACTGAGAGCGAGCGGAGTCCCGACTGAATGAGGCGGAGT